CGCCTCGGGAGCAGAGGTGCTGCCCGCGCGCGAGCAGAAGCGCCCGCACCCCTGCGGCCAGTCTGAACTCGCTCCTCTGGTCAGAAACCTGTGTCCAGATGGCCTTCGCCGGGGAAAGGAACTTTGCTAGGGAGTTTTTTCCCTCCGGGAATGCATTTATCCGCCATTAAGTAGGCGTTTTCCAGGGGCTCCTCGGGACTCGGGGCGGCGCAGGTGATCTCTGGTAGCAGAAGAGCAGCCCGTGCTCTCCCCGCGCCGCGGCAGCCCGTGCGCCCTGAGCAGGTAGCCCGCGCGGCACGCGCACTGCCCAGGAGCCTTCTAAGCAACTCGGGAGAATTTAAAAGGTGGACAGTCTGTCTTCATAATTAGAGGAAAGGTTTGCATTTCGTTCATAAAAATGTATGATGTCCCAAGTTTTCCCCGCCGACCCCAGAAAGGCTTTCTTCACATCCGCATCCGAAATGGGCTGAGCCAGGCTGGGGCACGCGTTCGCTGAGCCTGACCAGCACTTTAACTTTATCGCATTTCTTTAAAGAAAATCTGCCTTGCCCTCTCTTTATTGCTGCTCCATCCTTCTTTCAAGATCAAAAGCTTTAGATCAAAGCCAAGATCAAACTCACTACTTTAAATAGAAGGAACTTTGTCATGGACTCTTTTACACAAAGAGGAGCTTCTTAATGGAGACATCACAGTGGAAAACTTTATGTTACCGCTTCATCCCATATTCACAATTGAACGACTTAAAATTACGTTGATGGCGCACTTCTAGTTCCTAAAATAAACAACAGGTCTGGTCAAATGGGGAATTCTTGACTTAGTGTTTGTGTTTCCAGGAATACAGAAAACAAAAACGATAAGATTTAATAGTGACCATTTTGTATCCGTATTAGCTAAGTGCTATAAAATGCATGCTAATTTGCTAAAGACTTTTTCAGATATCAAATGTTCTTGTATATAATGTATAAACATCACATTCAAATGTTCTACTGTAAAAAGAAATGCATAAAAATACTTAATGTCCTGCAACTCTCAAGTACACATTTCAATAGGCAGGTAAAGCTGACAAATGATGAAGTAGATTATGTAATTACAGAACTACTTAATTTTACACGGAAATAAAATATTTAACTATTTAAGCTTCATGCTACTAATAACAGTTCCAGAACCAATAGAAATCTATTACAGGCTGACATGTACCCTGGAGTTGTTTTCCTTAGGAATTCACCATCCCTAAGAACCGTTCACTATTGATGGACTAAAACAGTGCCCCGCCTAAATGGACCTTTCTTATTTGTCCTCTTTGTTGATTTATCAACAATATGAAAACAATTAGTCTTTGAAGAAACAAAACCAAAATAACTTCCAACAATCCAGTAGCAGAAATAAAGATAACTATTGCAAATTATACCTTATACAGCCTTCTATGAAAATCTGTTGTTACACCTGGGGAGTTAATACTTGAAAGCTTTTTCCCCCTTGTAATTCTCATCTGGTTGTACTCTCAATCTCTCTCTCTCTCTCTCTCTCTCTCTCACACACACACACACACACACTCATTCCTCACGCTATAAATTCCATTGAGCCACTGGAAAGACCTTAGGAACTAAGACCTAGGAACCCCATCTTGCTGCCGCTGATAGTCTCCTTTCCTCCTAATACCCGGCAACTGAAGGTTTCAGGGCATCAGCTGAGCCAAGGAAACCCTACTGTCACTCTGCTCTCCTAACACCTTGAGTGGATAGGGAAAGTGGCGGTCCATTCTAATTGCCTCCTAATTTGTTTCCTTTGTCCTCTTGCCTCCCCACTCCCACCCACTCCCACAATGCATCCTCCACAGAGAAACATGAATGACATTTACAAAGGAAGTTCAAAAGATCACTTTGCTCTCCTGGAAATGTTTCCTTCTCTTCTTTGCCTGGCCAGGCCCTCCTTATTCTCCAGTTCTGGTCTGAAACAACTCTCCTCCAGGAAGGTCCTTCCTCCTTCCCCAATCCAAATTATGTCACCCCACTATTCTTCTTACTAGCATCCTGTTTATTTCCTATAAAGTGCTTATCTTTTATAGCTATTTACAATATTTTATTTTTTATTAAGAGACCTTATTTTTTAGAGTACTTAGAAAAAATTTACATAGAAGGCACAGAGTTCCCATATGCCAACATTAACACGGTTTCCTTTACTATTATTTTTTAATATATTTTTATTGAGTTGAGAGGAAGGGAGAGAGAGATTGAAACATCAATGATGAGAGAGAATCACTGATGAGCCTCCTGCATCCCTACTGGTGATCGAGCCCGCAACCCAGGCATGTGCCCTTGACCGTAATCGAACCTGGGACCCTTCGGTCCGCAGGCTGACACTCTATCCACTGATCCAAACCAGCGAAGGCAGTCTCCTTTATTATTAACATCTTGCATTCCTGTGGGGCATTTGTTACTATTGATGTACCATATTTGATACATTATTATTAACTGAAGCCCAGAGTTTACACTAGGGCTCATTCTTCGTGTTGTACAGTTCTATTATAGCTATTTTTAAATTAGTTTATTGAATGCCTATTTTCCAGACTAGACTTTAAAGTTCAGGAAGAAAGAGATCCTGTCCTTTGTTCTTGATTTTTGTCCAATCACTAAATACACTGCCTTACACATAGATGCTCAATAAATATGTTAAGTAACTGAATGTAAAGATAAAGGAACGAATGACTGAATGAAAGCATATGAAATTTCAAGAAGGGGAGTCTTAAGATGAAGATCTTTCTAATTAACTCCTGCTTTGTTTCTCCACTAAAATACCTTAATTTGTAAGAGCATAGAATTGTGCATTTAAAAAAAAAAAGAGACCATGGGACATCAGTTACATTGCCAGGGTACTTCTAGAATGATCTCTCTCTCTCTCTCTCTCTCTCTCTCTTTAATAAAAAGAACAAGAAATAAAGATTCCTAATTTTCTCATATATTAACCACTAAAATTATATTCCAAAATGGTGCTATGAGTTTGAAATATCAACCTATTGCATGACACTGGAAAAATATTAATTCTTGTTGACTATGTTCAATAGAACCTCAATACATGTCTCCTTTTGCCTCTCTAAATCTCCCTTTCTCCAGGGGCTGATCACAATGAAGGTATGGTGTGGAGAGAATGGAGAAAGATGACTTTTTAACACTGGAATTCTGTAGCCAGGAACAGATACTCTAATAACTATCTCTGAGAATGTGGTAGAAGTACTTTACAGTTATCTTTCAAAAACAGATGTTTTCTATTTGAATTATATCTTTAAAAATACTTCGTCCAGTAGAGATGCTGGTTTGGAAAGGAAGTTGTTCCAAGAAATTCTTGTCAAAGCAGTTCACAATAGTGAAGACAATTTCAGAGGCTGGAGGAGCATGCCTAGTGGCTGGAGATGACTTCTGGAGGGAAACCTCTTTTCTGCTTCCTTCGGATTTGTTTTAGTGGAGAAGAAATGACTCCCTTCACCGGGAAATGATAGTGATAGAGTTTCACATTGTCCGTGGCGGGTGTGCTTCTGCCTGGTGATGAGGTTCAGCAGGAGGCATGAGGAGCAGCAGCTCACCTTCCCGGTCAACCCGCAGGCCGGGAGGGCACACCAGGGGCCCTTTAATTGGACCAAACCACTTTGGATGGCAAATCACACTACCCCGGGCACAGCGGAGGGGAAACTGTGACGATAAGAAGTGAAAAAAAACTTTTAATACCACACAAGGTAGACAGGTCCCGAAGCCTTGGCTAGCTTTAGGGGGCTCTCTAGCCAACATATATTCGGGGTGAATTAGAGAGTCTAGCTCTGGCAGGTGTGGCTTCGAGGTTAGAGTGCAGGCCCACAGACTGATGGATCTCGGGTTTGATTCCAGTCAAGGGCATGTACTGGGTTGCAGGTTCAATCCCCAGTCCTGGTCGGGTGTATGAGGGAGGCAACCAATCCATGTGTCTCTCTCACATTGATCTTTCTTTCTTTCTTTCTTTCTTTCTTTCTTTCTTTCTTTCTTTCTTTCTTTCTCTTTCTCTCTCTCTCTCTCTCTCTCTTCTCTCTCTCTCTCTCTCTCTCTCTCCATCCCTCTCTCCTTCCCTTCCACTCTCTCTAAAAACCAATGTGGAAAAAATAACCTCAGGTGAGGATTAACAAAAAAAAAAAAAGTAAGTATCTACACATCTGGAAATAAAATCAAGGCTGTTTAAGTTGCAAGTAATAACAAGTGAGGATTAGGGGCAAAGTTATAAAATGTTTGTCTTTAAATTTTGCTCTATCATTTAAATGTAACATTCCTTGATGATACCTTGCTAGTTGATTTTAGAAAAATTATATGTAATTTGTATTATGGCCCATCTGCCTGTGTTGGAATGAACACTGGGTTTCTGTCTGAGGAGGACTGGCCCTGCCAAGTGGACCTCTTAGTGGCCGTTGTGAGAGAGCATGGCTTTCTCTGCAGGGGCCTGGCTGGCAGGACCTCTGCCTCTGGGCACCCATGACCCTGAGGTCCCTGTTGCTGGACACCTTTTACAGAGCTTGCCCCGGAGTGGGGTGTGGGGGAAGGCTCTTCCCTTTCTTGACACCCCCCAGCCCCGCAACCTCCCCCAAGCCCGGATTCTGATGAAGCCTTAGCTGTCAGCTATTGGCTCCCTGGAGAGAAACACCTACAGTGCACACAGTGCCCCTGTTCCCCACACACATCAGCTGTCAGGAGGCTCACAGGTACTGTGTTCCTGTGGCCCGGATCCTGCCGGAGGGCCTCATCTGGAGACGGCCTTACAGCCGCGGGGCTGCGCCTGCAGGTGCCCCGAAATTCCTCCCAGCGCACTGCATTCTGGTAAGAAGCCATCAGCCTTTCCCGAGGTGCATTATAAGAAACAGCCCCATGAAACCCATCACCACGTCTGCTGTGGAGACGGGTTCAGAGGGTTGTTTGTTACATGAAGTAGTGTTTTTCTGGGAGGACCCATGGCAAAAACCTGCCCCGGCCCGGGGCCCCGGCCCCAGCGTCAGGAGCAGCTGGGCCGGGCAGCTGCTGGTTCCAGCCCTGAGCTCTGCAGTTGGCCCTCCCTGGCGCCGGCGCAGGAACCTCAGGGCGCGGACTGTTTGGTAAGTTAATTCCTGGCCCCCACATATTTCCCTACCAGTATTTCATGTTGCTTCATTTTCCTTGTTTTAATTTTTTTTTTTTTGATCATGCTATATTTTGCTTTGGAAGCTGCCTTAACAATGTTTTGTACAAGGAGGAGTATGAATAAATAAAATATTCTGGGTCTATTTTTTCTTTCTTTAATTTCCTTTTTGGGTGGCTAGGGGGTCTGGAAAAATTTCTGGTTCCAATATATCTCTCCATTAACAACACTGAATACTTATAATATTCAAGGAAAAGGACTCTTAAAAATTAAATATAATACTATACAAACATCATGCAGGACGAATATAAAAATGTTAACCAACCAAGTGTTTTATCTCTTTTGATATCAAACCAGAGGGAAGGGGCTTAGGTTGCAGGAAGAGGATGTAAATCGGACACAGGGACGGGCTAGTCACTTCAACACACTCGGTGACTTCTGCAAAGCGGAGCACTAGCCACATGAAGGCAGGGGTACCCGAGACACCGCCCCTGTGCCCAGGGGTCCTGTGACCAGGCAGTAGTGCGCGTGCCAGGAGCTCGCCAGCCTGTCCGGGTTTGAGCCCGGCCTCCGCCACATGTGAGCTGTGTGGCCTCTCTCGGCCTCTGTCTCACAGAGTTGTCAAGCTCAAATGCTACATGATGTGCTTGCTTCCAAAAGGACAAGAGGAGGAACCGGTTATTTATCAGATTCCAGGCTCCTGGAACTCAGAGGCAAACAACATCACTACAAGTGCAGGGAAGTGACCTAAAGACCAAAAAAGTACTAAAGTGCTACATGGATGTGAGACCAGGGGCCTCCGACTGATGGGAAGACCCAGACTGCCCAGTCCGTACGGGCAGAGCCATTCACAAAGTGCTTCCCGTGCCGACTGCTCATTGGTGCCCCATCTCCAGGACGGAGACACGGAGCCTCAGGGAACTCAGTGCCTTTAGGGCTTCATATTGCGGGGCCCGTCGGCCTCCTGTCTGGAAATGTGGTGCCCTTTCTACTCCAGCACCAGAGCTTAGGGCCACCTAGCGTGACCTTCTCGCTTTAACATATTTGCTTATTATGTAGATCAGATCAACCGCAGACCAAAACACAGCCCAGGAAATATAACCCCATCACACAGCCGTCGATTGAAACAACCAGTGTAGAAGGCCAGTAGCAGTATATCTCCCTCAACACCTGTCTGACTACAGTTCTTTATAGGAGCTTGGCATTCATGACACTGTAACCTTAAAGAGTTTCACAGGCGAAAAATAAAACTCTGCTGGAGTGGTTCCCTCTCCTGACTGCTTGTTAAGATCGCCAGGGGTTACACATCCCCAAGCCCAGGTCGCACTCCAGAGCAGCGGTCACCGACCTTTCGGGCCTCACGGACCACCAGTGGTCTGCGGACCGCCGGCTGGTGACCACTGCTCCAGAGCGTGGTGCCCGAGGCTCAGAGGGGGTCCAACCTGAGAACTGGTCCCATCGCCGAGCGTGGGAACCAGGCGTCAGTCTTTCTTTAAAGTCCTCCCCACCCCACCCGCCACCCCCAATAGTTCGAATGTGCAGCCAGTGTTGAGAACCACTGGCTTAGATCGTTTTCATGATGACCCAACTCTAACAGGTTATTTTGAAGAAATTCCAGATATTTGGCAATCATCAAAATTTCAAGGTAATTGCCACAGAGGACAACCACCTTTTATGTCCTATTCCAGTAAGTGCCCTTGGGCAGACAGCAGACACAGCTCTGGGTAGGCTGGCCCACATGGCATTTCTTACAGCTTACACTTAGGAATACACTCGAGGCAAGAGTAGCTGTGCACACAGACACAAAAGAACTAAGAAGAAGTGGAAGATCTCAACATACCCAGGAGGCAAGAATGAACGGCTAGTTCACTTTTTAGGTTTCTGTGCAGGTTCGTGGTTAATATGGCTGGATCCTTGCCTCTAGGAAAGCTGAATGCAGAGCTGACCTGGAAGGCTGTATGTATGAAGCGGTGTTGCCCAGTTATCCCCTCTAGACAATGTTCTAATAATGTCAACGGCTGCCGCCCATTGGCTAGGATTAGAGGACAGTGTGTACCAATGCAAGAGACCCTTCACTGTGTGCAAAAGCTCCCGTGCCATGCAGGACGCCACCAGGTTGAACTTCCTCTGAGTCTTGGGCACCCTGCTCTCACCACATGGACTTCCTTGTTTAGAAATGACACAGTACATTGATGCTACAGGACAACTGCTCTGGAAATGCCTTCCAAAAGATATTACTTACTAATTACTTAAAATCACAAACATCTGCATTGACATTTCACAGCATGGAAAGCAGACATCCATGGAGAGGTCCCTGGGTCATGCCCTGAGATGGGCGGGTGTGGTCCTGTGAATAGTGCACAGGGGAGCCCTTTACCGGAGGCGGGGCTTCGGGAGTCTGTGGACCCCGGCATGACCATTGTTCTTTTTCTAGCTTGTCTAATTTTTAAAACTTCGGCACTCAGCCCTAACCGGTTTGGCTCGGTGGGTAGAGCGTCGGCCTGCGGACTGAAAGGTCCCAGGTTTGATTCTGGCCAAGGGCATGTACCTTGGTTGTGGGCACATCCCCAGTAGGAGGTGTGCAGGAGGCAGCTGATCGATGTTCCTCTCTCATTGATGTTTCTAACTCTCTATCCCTCTCCCTTCCGCTCTGTGAAAAATCAATAAAATATATTAAAAAAACAAAACAAAACAAAAAAAAACTTCGGCACTCCGACTGGGTTGCCTGTGATGTGGCCTCCCAAAAGTACCCAATGAAGACACAATCTGCAACAAAGAAGAATGAGCCTAAATAATCCTACCTCTATCAGATCAGGCGCGCGCGCGCGCGCACACACACACACACACACACACACACACACACACGTAAAATCCAGCACAGTTGGGGGTGGGGTGGCTGTCCCAAATAAAAACAGTATCTGAGAAAGCTGTTTTCCAGAATGTTTGTTCACCAAACATTTAGATCCATGTAAGAGGTGTTCCAGGAAAACAATGGGAAGGGCCCAATTGATTGGCTGCTAATCTCTGTACCTTTTGTGGGAGGTTTCCTCCAGCAGGGGGTTAAATCCGCATTGAATGCTGCCCGGGCCCAGCTGTGTCCATATTAGGACAGCCCTGCTCACATCTCCCTCCCTCTCTGCGAAGCAAGGATCTGTCCTCCCTCCCTGGGCCCTGCTTCCACCCCCTGCGTGTGTAGGTGGGAGAGTAGGAGTGGGGAATGTGAACTTGATCCAGCATTGATCAGCCAAGCAGCAAACGCTTATTGTTCTTTAGATACCAAACATAACTTCTTTCTTCTAGGGATAAGCCCAGCCATTCTGCACACAACACCACTTTTATGCTCAGCAGAGTGAGAGATGGAAAAGAAGCATTAGAGCTTTATTAAACTCAACCTAAACACCTCCTAAATATGCAGAATTTAAGAATCCACCCAGTTAACTTATATTCATATTAACATTAGGTATATTAGACTCTCTTAAAATCTAACAATCACCTGGTCCTTTCTGACTTCTTTGTTCATGAAAGAAGGGGTGAAGACCTATGTCTACTGTGAGCACCCTAACCCTGTGATTTTCAACGGTCTCAGAGCAGAATCCTGAGATTATGGATTTCAATTTATAGTGTAAATACTGTGTTACGTTCACCTGCTCTTCGAGCATTTATTTCACTGCTTTATTCTCTGAGGTTCAAGGGCATTGAAAACCATGCCAGTGTACAAACAAATATGCTGCTGTCTTTTTAAGTGCTGCCCTAAGAATGTGGCTGACCTGTTTCTGCACAAAGCCGTGTGTGATGGGAACTCAGACCTCGGTACCCTCCTTCCCTGCCACCGAGGAGCTGTGTGACCTTGGGCATGTCACACACCTCTCTGAACTGGTGACATGGAGGGAATGTTATCTGTGAGGATGAAATGAGATGGCGCATGAAGCCAGTGGTTCATGTAGACCAGTAAATGCTTGTTCTGAAACAAAAGGCTTTCTGGTATTTTGAACCTGAATAATCTTCCAAAGGTCTCAAGTTACTGATTTGTGACCTTGGAATAAAGAGCCTTGCCCGACCGCCACACAGATGTGATGCCATCGGATGGCACCGGCAGCGACACGGCATGTCTGAGCCACTGCAAACAAGTGCCTGTCCCTTCCCAGAGGATGGGTGGGCGTGAGGAAGCAGAACCTCTTTCTGGTCTGCCTGATTAGAGAGGACATCACTCCCTCCCTGGTCCCACACTCAGAATAAGCCCGCTGTTGTTACCAAAGGGTCAGAAAATGAAACTGGGCATTTTGGCGTCATTCTCTGAAGGCACCAGCATGACCAGGTGCAAGATGCAAACACACTTAAAACCCTACCAGTAGCTACAGTGCAGTTAAAACCAATGTATGAATTAATAACGGGCTTTTAGGTTAGATTTGTTTCCTCATCTATAAAATGGGTATAATGATAATGTCTACCTTCTAGAACTGTGACTAGAAGTAAATAACTATTATGTTCAATGAACTTAGCATAGACCCTACTCAATAAAGCGATAGCCTTTCTTTCATTGTGGATGTTCTAATATATAAAACAGTATATCCGGAATATTGGGGGGAAGAGGGGAAATGGAAGAATTGAATGAACATACAATGTAATAGAGCTTTACATGACCTATACATTCTTGGATTGACCCATTTATAGCTTTTTGTTAGAAGCATTTGTGCCCAACCCAGGCAGACATCCCTCAATTACAAAATCAACCTCAGGGACGAAAAATACAGTTTGGGGAGGAGAGACCCACTGAGAACTCCGAAGAGGCCCACTTGGTAATAAATGCGAACAAGAAGAGTCTTAAAGAGAATGCACCTCTGCTTGGCTGTACAGAGGATGAAAAGCGAAGGCGCACAAGGAGGGGAAAGGAGCCAGCGCAGAGAGGAGACGCACCCTGGATGGAGGCCTGAGACCTGGGGCCGCGCCTCTCCTCCGGGAACTGGCTGGGGGTGAGGGCGCTCCCTCCAGTCCAATCCCATTATCACTTGTCGCCCGGGAGTCTTAGCCCCCAGCTCTGATGTATTGACTCTGCCCTCCCTTCCATGCATTTTCAAGCCAATAAAGTGGCTGAAATTAAAGAAGAATTGAATTGTGAAGCTTTTGGGGCATAAATAATGTCATACTGGGAAGCCGGGGATAATGACAACCAGGATGCCCTTAACGCTCTTAAGAAAAACCATCTGATCTATGCAGCCCTCAATGCGGTCTGAAATTTCCTTTGACCTACAAAGGAAAATATTTTTAGCATGTAGCACACTTTGTAACAGACATATAAATGCACTGAAAATACAATTTTAGGAAAGCATCTGGCTTTGATCATTTCTTGTTCTGCCTCACCCCAAATAGGTTCTGCTTCCTCAATATGAGGAACACGGCTCCATCCTGCTGCAAGCGATGCTGCGACCACCCGAGCGATTTCTCCTAAACATTTCACTGCTGGCTCTGCTTGTTTTTACTTTTTAAAGTGGCAAATATTCTAATCATTGAAATATAAAAACAGCATAAAAAAAAACTGCTCCTGGAGCATTTGGCCCCAATGATATTCCTTCCTTCAAAGGGCCACTGGGCTTTCCCCCCAGGTCTTTCAGACAACAGACATAAACGAGTGAGTACTTACTTAGTTTATGTCTCCAAATGTATCCTAGAAATAATAGTTGCCACTGTCCATGGAAAATATATATTTTTCAAATTATATGTGCTGTGAGATCCTTGGTTCTTTTATATCAGTAAACGCAGTTGCCAGGATGTGCTGTGCTTTTGGGGCCCTAATAATCTGGCTGTTATATTTGTCCATGGTTGGACTCACTATGTGACTGAACACTTTGTCAGAGGTCCTTAGAGGTACAACACCTATGGCACATACTCACGAAGAGTCCTGGAAAGGGAGGGTCACACTGCTGTGCACACAAAGCACATTCGTGCCCAATAGAGAACAAACAGTCACTAAGTGGATTAAACGCCATCACTGCTCAGGGCTCTCTGCTGTATTATTTATTATCTCTTCCTGGTTCTTGTAAAAGCTAAGGCAAGGATGGGACCAAGCTGATTTGGATTAAAAGCAACCCTGCTAAAAACACAAAATGCCTCAGTCACAGGTAAGGCCCATGTGTCAAACTTGGCCCACGGACTGTGCACCTGGAGGACAATCGCGCTGCTTCCCTTGCACAACGAGCTGGCCGACTGGTGACCAGTGAGTGCAGCCAGGCCCCGCCTGCCAGCGGCTGTTCTCCTGCGCTCAGCCTCAGCCCCGCCGAGCACGGCAAATAGGCAAATACGAGAAGCCGACCTCTGCGTGCCTCCAGGTCCCAACTCGAGGCCGAGGCCCAGGCCCTTGCGTGCCTGTGACAGAGGCTGATTTACAGACACCCCCACAGGCCGTGAGCCCACAGGCAGCACTTGGTGTGCCCACTGCCCCACACGAGGCTTGGCATATTGGTTGAATCTATAAACTAAGCCCTAAAGCCAAACCTTTGGATTTCTCAGGAAGAATATGAAACTGAAGAATTCTAAGAGTTTAGATTGTACTCAGAAATGAGGGAAACTTCCTTTGACAGAATATATTCCAGAATATGATTTTAGGTATAATACCTGAGAAATTATATTTGTCAAATTATATGTGCTATGAGATCCTTGTTTTTTTTTTAATATCAGTAAACGCAGTTGCCATAATGTGCTGTGCTTTTGGGACTCCAATAACCTGGCTGTTATACTTGTCCATGGTTGGACTCACTCTCTGAGTGACTAAGTTTAGACAATTTAGATAATCTAAAGTAATTTTAGATTCTATCTATGGGTCAGAGCCTCCTTAGGGGCCCTTATTCAGCAGGTGTGGGCTGAGTCCAGGCTGGTAGTTTAAACAGCTTCTTGGATGACTCCGGTGAACAGGGCTGGGCCTAGCTGGCCAGGTGGCCTGCGGCCTCGCGCCCAGCCTGCTGAGCTATGCTTCTAGAAAGCACCCAGCCTTACTTCCTCATTAAACCCGTATGTGCACAGGCCACGACCATCCACCTCCGCCAGCTGGATTGAGCCAAACAGACTTCAAAACTAGTGGTTCCAGCTTCCTTTTCCTTCTGTTTAAAGCAGAGCAACAGGTTTATCCTGAATCCACCAAGCAAATGCTGGGTTTCTCTCCACAGGTACAAAGACCACCTCGAGGAGAGGAAACACTAACATGCTCATTGTGCACACGAGTCTGGTCTTTCTGGATCTGTCTGAGGTTTCAGTTCTTTCTGGAATCAGGTTTTAGAAGGGAGAGAGAGAGGGCACCACAGGAAAATGTCTCCTGTTTCATCATGGGCCTGCGCTGTGAGAGGCCAGCCCGTCTGGACGGTGTTGAACAAGAAGCCCAGCACGGACCTTCAGTGCCAACTTCTCTCTGGGAGGATGCACCCCGTTTCTTGTCACTGCCCGGCAGTGCACCCCACTGAGAAGTCTGTGGGAAAGGCAGGTGCTTGCAGAGACGGTGAGTGACTGTGGCGGCTCCTCGCCACGGCAGGCCTCGCCCCCATGAGGCCGGAGGCCTGGTGTTGTACCTCTAAGGACCTCTGACAAAGTGTTCAGTCACATAGTGAGTCCAACCATGGACAAATATAACAGCCAGATTATTAGGGCCCCAAAAGCACAGCACATCGTGGCAACTGCTTTTACTGATATAAAAGAACCAAGGATCTCATAGCACATATAATTTGAAAAATATAATTTCTCTGGAATTTGCAAAATAAGTAGTCTCCATTTTCTTGAATGAC